CCGGCCCAACATCCTGATCCTGGATGAGCCCACCAGTGGCTTAGACTCGGTGACCACGTGGCAGCTCATTAACACCCTTATTGAGCTGACCCAACAGCCCGAGCCCATAGCCATTGTGGTGACCATTCATCAGCCGAGCGCCAAACTCTTCGGTCTGTTTAACACAATATATTTGCTGTCCTGTGAGGGACAGTGTATTTACAACGGACCGCCCCATAAGATGTTGACCCTGTTCAGTGAACATGGACTGGAGTGTCCCAGGTTCACAAATCCATCGGACTTTGCCCTGGAAGTGGCTGCTAATGAGCACGGGATGGCCAAACTCATGATGCTGTCCACTCTTAACAAAATAGACGCACTCGATATGGATGAACACGACTTCCGGATTAGGATTAAGACTCAGTTCAGGACGTGGAGAACCGTATGGTTATTGACACTCAGGTATTATGCAATAAAATGTTACGAAATTTAGTACTTGTGTTCAAAATTTGTTATGAATTTTGTTTAATGCTTATTTTATTATGTGTTTCTCAGGTCAATGCAAACCACACTTAGGGACCCGTATATGTTGCCACTGAAAGTGTCCGCATATATCGTATCAGCCGTTATGATTGGACTCATGTTTGGGTCGGACAGCGGTATACTGTCCTCCTGTTCCTCGGACTTCAATATAGGCGACGGCAAGGATTTGATGAAAAAATATCAGGAAATCGCAGCCGATATTATGGAGAACTGCTCCGGGATTCTGTTTGCCGTCATGTTTGGGTGGTTTATGTCTATATTTCCCATTTTACTCATATTTCCGAGTGAGATGAATGTCTTTCTAAAGGTTTGTAAATAATTTTTAAAATTTATTTACTTTATGTTAACATAACTTATTTTTTTGGTAAATCACTCAGGAATATGGGAACGGTACCTATTCGTGTTTCGCGTATTTCATGTCCAAAGTGTTGAGTGATATACCCTTTCAACTAATACTTCCCAATTTGGGTGGCCTACCCGTGTACTACCTGACCGGCCAGTATATGGGCGAGTGGTGGCGTATATACGGCTTTCAATTAATATTCATATTAGTCTCAATCAATGCCAGCGCCCAGGGATTTCTGATCAGTGCTATTATACCGGAAAGTCCGTTGGCCTGTGCTTTCATAGGACTTATATCATTAATACCAATGTGCTTACTGTCCGGTAATTAATCATAATTTGTTAAAACTTATGAAAGTATTACAAATGTTGTACAACTATTTGTCAACCTAGGTTTAATGGTAGAGCTGGATAAAATGCCATTTTATTTCCGATACTTTGCGTATATAAACTATGTCAAATACGGTATGGATACAACCCTGATCAATATCTATGGGTTCGATAGGTGTTCAGCGGAAGGGGTAGAAAGGAACGACACGTTCAATATCATGGATGCCATTCCTCCTGAGAAAATGATGCAAATATACTCATCCGATAAAATAGATGTCGAAAAAATTATGTCTACTGTCGGGGGACTTATGACAGGGATTTTAGATGAAGATAATCACTCATTTATCCTGTCTTATTTTAAGCTGGGTAATTTTGATTATTATTTTGGTATATTTATGTTAATTTTGAATTTTTTCGTATACCGAGTGCTAACTTATTATTTTATTTTACGAAAGGTTAAGTCAAAAGTTTAATGTTTATAATGATTTACGTATAAACTATTTTGAGTAAAGTTAATGTATATAGTTTTTAGCTATAAATACTTTAAGTATTTTTAACGCACCTTTAACTAATTAATCGATATTTATAATATAATGTTTTATATATAATATTATGTGTTAATTAATTATGATTTTGACATTTGATATAATATTAGGAAAAGTAAATCGTTTTTATTGTATTGAAAACTCATAATTAAGTTTATTTTTCATTATGAAACGATAAGAAAAGCAATTATTTTTTCGTAAGAATTGTTTTTTACTTTTTGTTTTTTATATCAAATATATTCTCATAATATAAGAAAATAATGAATCAATACTGTTGTGAGAAAAATATATTTTTCTTATTATATTGAAAAATAATTCAAAATATAATGTGTATTATAAATAAATAAATTTTATAAATTGACAATATAAATTGCTAATTTTCAGTAACATATCACTAAATAAACATAATTTTAAATAATATTTTTAATGATTATTTAAAAATACTGATTAATTATAAAACCTATGCTACCTGTGTAAAAATAGTAACTTGAATATCACTAACTTCTAAGCAAACTTGTCTCTCTTATTAAGTAAATATTGATTTTGGTTTTCAATTCATAAAACTAAATACACAGCAAATTATTGATTGGTGTAACAAAACATGTCAGACGTTAACATCGATATCAATAATGATACCAATTCACAAGCAAAGCCTACTAATGGCAACCTGGATCCGTTTCGGGTGATGTGGCGTAACCTGACCTACACTGCCAACGATAATACGAACCGCAAGAAAGTGATACTCAATGGAGTGAACGGCTATTTCATTAGCAGTCAGATCACAGGGATTATGGGGCCGAGCGGTTGCGGTAAGTCTACGCTATTGGGATGTATAGCCGGTATTAAGACCAAAGGGTTGTCCGGGTCCATAACCATTTCGACAAACATCAAGGTGAGTTACAAAAATTACTTCATAAACATCTGAAAAACACTTAAAACTCTTATCTTTAGGTAAAGTTTGCGTTTATAGTGCAGGAGAACTACATCCTAAGTAGGCTTTCCGTTCGCGAGTCGCTTATGTATGCCTCGAAACTCAAAAACGACCCGTTCGTCGACCACTCGGGTATTGTGAACGACGTGATCGACAAACTCATGATCCAGACGTGCGCCGACAACCGGCCCTCCCGGTGCTCAGGCGGCCAACTCAAGCGAGTGCTCATTGGACTGGAGCTGGTGTCCCGGCCCAACATCCTCATCCTGGACGAGCCCACCACTGGCTTAGACTCAGTGACCACGTGGCAGCTCATCAATACACTCATAGCGCTGACCCAACAGCCGGAACCGGTAGCCGTTGTGTTGACTATACATCAGCCGAGTGCCAGACTTTTCAATCTGTTTCACGCGATATACTTGTTGTCGGCGGACGGGCAGTGCATATACAACGGCTCCCCAAA